ATATATATATATATACATACAATTTCTCTGTTTAAGATGGGTTTATTTATTTAGATAAGGACCCCGTGCAGTTAGTTTCCTCAATGAATCCTAGCTTCACCCCACCTCCAGTTTTTCATCTGTCTGTTTAACTAACCTGTTTTCATTGCAACTCCTGTCTCCAGGGTTCCAGCCAAGGTTTAGATTTTGTAAGAAACAAAGTAAGTCAAGAATTTCAACAAATTTACTTTTTTGATTTTCTTTCTTTTCACATTAAATATATTTGATAAATGGTGAAATATACATATGGAGGTTTTTTTTTGCCAAGTAAAATAGTTTAAAACTATTTAGAATACATATTGCTTTTTTGACAGCTTCACACATTGATGGCATTTTCTCTTTTGGCTTTAATAAGGAATCACCTGGAACACTTTTCCAACAGTCTTAAGAGGATTTGTAAACAAGCAGTGCCGCTGTCTGCTTTTCTCGCACTTTGCCCTCCAACTCATCCCAACCACCTCAACTGGGTTCAAGAGGACTGTGGACGCCCTTCTGGGACGTTTGTCATGGATAGAATAAAAGAACTCAGTGCATTACATGCAGATGTACTATCTGTCCAGTAGATGGCAGTATAATACAAGATAAACATCGAGGTAATATGCGCTAACAGTTCTTTGAAATCCCCCAAATTTTTAAAAATTTTAAGTCCCTTTAATAAACGACTTCTTCGTCTGTCTGTTCTGATGTACCTTGTAGTTATTAAACCTCAATTGGTGTACAATCAGTAATATTACTTTGGTTGATTATTTTTAACTTTTTCTGGAGGGCATGTTTACATTGTGAGTTTTACAAAATAACCTGGAACGTGCATGCATAATAAAGTTGTGTTTCGAAATTTCATCTAATATAGTATTGCTGTTTTTTTCTTCTCTCAATTAATTGGTTTTGTTTTATTTTTTTCAGCGTCACATGATTGTGCCACGTCTGACGTCACACCCTTCCCGGAAGTCCGAGCCGTGAAGAGGATGGCGTCGTACGTCTATTCGCTGGAAGAGGATGTTTGCTTTCAATGAAAGAAAAATAACACCTGAATCCACAATTGTATAGCAGAATAAACCGCTGGACAGTCTCTTCCGTCAAACCTACAGGGATTTGGACCGCTCACCCTCTCTCCTGGAGGAAGAACGGCCTTTAATAAAAAAAAAAAATGTCACTCTTCCAGTCTGCACTGGATTTCCTAGCCGGGCCCGGCTCGGTTGGAGCGGCTAGCCGGGACCAGAATGACTTCGTTGGGCAGCTCGTTGAACTCGGTGACATGAAACTGAGGATCAAAAGGGTGATTGCTGAAGGTGAGTTAGTGTTAAAGAAATAAGAAAAAGGAAAGAGGAGACTGTTGTCTCCTAAAAACAGGGATGCTAAGTAGCAGAACTGGCTAAACTACACATGCTAGCAACATCAGTTTCGTTAGCAAGTGCAGAGCAGCTGTGAGTCACAAAGTAAACACATCATTTAGTTTCTATCTAATAAATTTAAGTCGGTGTTCGAAGCCTGATAACGTCAATTGTATTTGTTTGTAAAATCTAGAAACAAGATTCTGTTTTTTTTATATTTCCTCGTACGGTTTCACGACTTATGTTGCAGGTGGATGAACGTAGGCATCATTTTACTTGAGGCTGCATAGATTACCTTATCGCGGGGGAAAAAAGACTGGCTAGGGGCGGCAGGAAGACATGTCCTGGTGGCTCCAGGTTTAACACGACTTGCACTGCCAAGTCCAAACATTTGGTAGAGGTTTTTTTTTTTTTGTTTTTTTTTTATCAATTCTAGTGACACGAAGTGAGAGAAAGATGGCATCTTAAAATATTTTCCTTTCTATCTTACACAGTATATTCTCATGGCCAGATATGGGTTGTTGATCATACACAGTGGTTACAGGTGTAAGTAAGTAAAGTTGTATTTATAAAGCGCCTTTCACAGAAATATATTCACAAGGTGCTGTACAATCATTAACAGTACAGAAATGGTGGAAAGAATAAAATGAAACAGAAAAACATAATTACACATAAGCGACGATAATTGAAACATCAAATCAAGAATTACTTTCTAAAATTGTAAATCAAACACAAGGTCAATGCAGGTCAAAATATACAGTAATACACAAAAACGTAATGAATGCAAGAGAGAAAATATGGCGTTAGTTCAATAATAAAGAAAACACAGATTGTCGAGCATTCTCAATGGAGTGCAGTAATGGTGAAATGGTTAGCTAAACGCTTGAGTGAAAAAGTGAGTTTTTAGGAGTGTCTTGAAAGAGACAATGTTATCAAGGGAGCGCAGATTAAAAGGGAGTTCATTCCAGAGCCTGGGGTCCACAGAGGAGAAGGCACGGTCACCACAGGTCTTGAAGCAAGTGAGGGGAACCATAAGGAGATGTTGAAGCTGTGAGCGGAGGTCTCGTCTGGGGTTATAAGGGGAAATGATACTTTTAATGCACTCTGGGGCTTGACCATGAAGAGCTCTGAAAGTGAGGAACAGGATTTTGAACCGGATTCTGAATTGAACCGGAAGCCAGTGAAGTTC